GGGGGGGGCATATCTTAATCTCACCTATAAGGCACCAGATTGGCTGGAGCTGGCCCTGTCTGGAGGAACACTGAGACAGTTGCACAGAAGAAATCAATAATTGATGGTGATAGAGGCTCAGCAGCTTGGCACAAACACAACTATATGGATGTGAAGTTGCACACGCCAGTCCAGCAAAGACCCTGCTCTCATCGCAGTGCGCTGCCCTGCCTGGAAGGTGTGAAAAACGTGAACGCTTAACCCCTGCAGTCCAAAGGGAGCTTTAGGGGGTGTCAGGTCCAAGTCAGAGTGAGGGTGACGGAGAAGGAAATGCGCATATTGAGCTTTTTTCCTCCACGACTGTTCTCTTTCAAGGTGTCGGGGGCAGCTGACATGAGGCAGCGGCTGAATTACAATGCGCCCCCATGCGCAGTCTTCCTCCTCCTCCTCTTCCCCCGCCACTGACTGCATGTGCCCACGGCGTTAAAAGATTTCTGTGACCCAGTCTCAACAGCTGACAATGAGCTCCTTAAACATTTGCATCACCAACTTCAATCAGCCTCCCTGACTGTAGTCACAGCATCATCATCTGAACACAGAAACGATGCTGATGGAGACGAGAATCCACAGACAGAGCAGCCAATCAACGAATGCGATTTTTTATACATTTCACTTGATGGATGTAAGCGGAGCTGGCTGTCCGATGGCATTTACTCAAATCATATAAAGCGCTGTGTTACTGGCGGGTGTTGTGAGTTGACCTTGCACAATCCTATGGAGTTTGGCGCAATGTGCATGGATAAAGTGCAGGAAACTTGGAGATCAAGTCAAAAGAAAAGCCAGTTGCCCACCTCATCCTGCTGCGGTTGATTCTGTCTCTGGTTCGGCTGCTCCTTGGTAGCTGTCATTGTAAAAAAAATAAGAATAAAATAAAGAAACTCCTCCTACGATAAAACTTGGTTGGATCCCGAAGAAAAACTGCAAGATTCCTGTTTTCTGAGTGAGAGGAGTCGGGAGGAAGCGGCGGCGGCAGAGGCGTCTTGTCAGATGCGGAATGTTAAAGAGGAGTGGAGGAGTGGAGGAGCGAGTGGAGGAGAGGGGGGGGGGGGACAGATCCGTCACGAATGAATGTCTGCGAGGTCTTGGAGAGCGTCTGACGAGGAGCCAACGCAGCCTGTGCGTTCACATCAACACCCTCCTCCTCCTCCTCCTCATCATCATCATCCTCCACCTCCCCCCACCCTCCAGGAAAGGGAGGAGAGTTTCAGACACGCACGTTGTTCAACCGAGAAAGTGTTTTGTTATGTGTTTTCTCTTTTACCACCACTTCTCTCGTATACGTTTGAGTGGGGTGTGTGGTGGGAGCAGTGGGCTCGGTTAGTCTCCAACCTCTCTCCTCTCAGGGATGCTGACATGCTGGAGGGTGGGGGGGTTAACAGAGGGAGGAGGAGGAGAAGGGGGTGGGGTTCCAAACAGAACCCACAGTGTGGAGTTCAGACCCTGTGAGAACACATCACTGATGCTCCGCTCATGAAGTCCAGTCTGAGCCCGGAGCTGTCCGCGGTGCTGAAACCAGCCGCACACTCATCCTGCCTGTCCGGCGCCTCCACCGACTCTGCCTCCTCTGTTTTTAACACCGGACACACTCTCAGACCGCGTTGATTTCTGACACAGGAGCTTTTACTTGGTGAGGTGTGGTCAATACAGGGATATTCAGGTGGCTCGCCGCAGCTCGCTGTGGGTTCTTCCATACGCACGGGGCAAAAATGCAGTTGCATCAGTCTTTGGAGCAGTGAATAACACCTGTGAACCTGCGAGAGCCACGTTTGCTGTATTTTATTGCCTCTGCCACACTAGGATCTGTATTTTATATCTGCATCAGACTTCATCAAGGATTGTGAGGCAAAACACTCACACACATATCTGACCAATACATGACCACTGATGCACAGTAACTAGTGTTGAATCTGTACCTGAGTTGTTGTGCTACTTCATATTTAAGTATTTCTTATTTCATTTATTTTATTTGATAGGGACAGTGCTCGTTGGTCATCAAGTGAAATACTGTAAATGAGCCAGATATAGCTTTTAGCTCACCATAATTTCATTCTGTTGCCCCAAGCCACTTCTTAAGGCAGTTTACCCAATTAACAAAAAGCAAATAAAACAAACCAAAGGAAACAATTGTATCTATCAAACAATAATGCATCTCTCAGATACAATGCAAAGCCTAATGCATGTAAACTAAATTACATGGAATGATAACAGGTTTGACAAACACATAAGCAGGTTATGTGAGAGCTGGTGGGAGCCCACTTAAACCATTCAGCAAATCAGACTGCAAATGTTTTTCGTTTTTTCTCTCCGATACTCCATAATGTCTTTTTCATTGCAACTACTGCACATAGGAGGGTGAGAATTGTGTGAAGTCTAGTTTGGGACAAAGCAGTTGTGTGCAATGGTAATTACAAACTCAGCTGAGACACTGATGTAGAAGACAATGGTGCATATTCATATTATAATCATACCTGCACTGCCCTTGCTGAATAATTTCATTCTGACAGATCCCCTTCAAGCATTCCTATCAGGTATGACTGATTTAAACCAGCTCCAGTCTATAAATACACCTTGAACCACAGCTTATGTATATAACAGAGTGTTTTGATGATGGTGGGGCACACGCTGCCTTACTCTTGGGTTGAGCTGTGAACTGTGAAAGTGTATGATTGACCTTGTTTTCCTAAAATCATTCAGTTTCCCCTCTTACCAGCCACCTGTAGAAGAGAGATGGGTTTACATCTGACAGGAGTGGAGTAGAATATAACAGTATTGAAAAACTAGCTTGCTTGTATTATTATAAAGGCACAAATCGATCAGTGTGCTTCATTTTGTAGACAAGGGTAATCAATTCACTTTGAGCTGAAGTTGGTCCAAGTCGGCCCACGGCACTGCTCAGTGCTGCTGTTGCAGCTGTAACATTATGAGAAGCAGACACTATAATTTCCTTAACACAGCCACTTCCCTCTATACAGCACGTCTACTGATGTGGTATTGTTCTTCCAAAGCTCCTCTTTAAAGCCTCTTGAGTATGGGTACATACAATGGGTACATACAATGAATGTGAGTACATTACATTACATAGTACATAGTTCTCCCACCTCATGTGACCTCCCACTGCCAGTCTGGAAAGATTTACTCTTTGTTCTTAATAAGTCCTTGCTATTTTGGATCAGGATCTGTGACAGAGATGCCTGACTGCTCAATTGTCACCATTTTTTTCCAACTGAAATAAGCAGATTGTATCAGCTTTAGGTTCATCCATAACACAAGCTCCTCAAGTTGTAAAAGGCAGACTATTTCATTTTTACACCTACCACATGTTTAAACGAAAAATCATCCTTAAAAAGTCATCTATGGAAATAAGAAATATTGCATTGCATTAGAATGACGGGCCCTTCTTTAGATGCTTTGTTGACATATACGTGTTACTTTTTAATATTGTGTTTTTCGATTTTCAAGGTAACAGAAAAAATAACCTGGATGGGTTGTAATGTTATCTTGGGTAACACTGGCTGCGGTTGGAAAATTGTAAATGTCAACAAACCCAATAGGGAGCAGGGAGCTGTTAATGTTAGCATAAACTCTGATAGCATCCAGGAACAACCTCGACCACAAAGTGAGAGAGGGCTGAATGGTGGATGTGCTAGGGCCATTAAAACATCAAGATGTGTGAGTACCATCTCCTCTCACTTAAGTGAATCAGCCGTCTTGCTCTCATGACATCATTAGGGAACTAGGGGTGGAGCCACAGCTTCGAAGTCCTGCCTGACCAATCGGCAGTCTGTCCCAGCTGTCAATGATGAAGTTGTACCCTATTTTTATAGCATCAAATAACTAAAAACAAAATCAGTGTGATAAAAACTACCTAAAATGCCAGTAACCATTTTTTGAAAAATGTATTTGATGTGTTCTTTGAATTTTGTATCTATTTTTTGGTTTTGTCCATACCCCATCCGCTAACATGGAGCAGGGTTCATGAGCTAGACTGCCTGTACTGCAATCAGCCACCAGCGGGCATTGAAGAGTTTATGGCTCCAATTTTGGAAGCTGTGAGGTCCATCTTTATTTATCCTTATGTACCCACATAGAATAGATGTTAATGTCAACTATATTGTATGCTCCCTTTCAGCCGTGAAAGTAACATCAGGTTACAACTACAGTTAGCATTATTACCAAGCATGTAGTGTTTGCAGTAAATAAAAAAACATGACATTTTATTCAAATCCAGCAGAATATCTAATTTTAATCCAATAGCAAATGAAAATGTAACTTAATCGCTGTTACAAGCGTTTCAGGAAAATTGTTATTGACGCCATCAAAACAAGCATGTAAACAGTCTGAGTGAGAATAATGAGTAACGTTCGTTTGAAAAAGTCCTGTCCATCCTGTCAACTTCTGCCCCGCGCTGAAAACGAGCTTTTGTTAATATGACAACATTAGTTTATATTGTTTGTCACTGAAATAATGTTGGTTTGCTTGTGATGAGTGGTCACACGAGTGGTGTCCCAATCCTCTGGAAGATTTCCTAGCCCTCTACCTTGTGGCTCCGTTTGGAGGGGGACTCCCAGCAAAGGTCACTTTATCTCTAGGGGAGAAGAATTGGGAAAGGGCCTGTATGTACATTAGTAAAGAACTGTTTACTTAACAGTTTAGAGGAGACGCTGCCAAGTTCTGTCTTCAGTGATAGAAAGTTTATTTTTCTATCACTTCTCTGATTCTACTGAAGTTGGCATTCTAACCTTCTGGACACTGGATCACTTTCTGAGTGCAAACTGGTTTAGCATCTAGGCTCTCCAACCAGTTTTCTTGTCAACGCATTGTTGGCTGAAGCTATTGAAAAGTGACCATCTCCACCACCGGCTCAGAGCCTTTAACCCTGTTCAATGGCAGAGAAAACTCACAAATCACACCTTTAAATTCTGAATGTGGTTCTAACTACATCTACATTAATACTAAATTTGACAGCAAGGTATGAAGCTATGATTGGACAATCACTCTTCAGGGAGAGTCACACGGTCAACTTCTCAACACCAAACAATCACAAAACAGGGCCACAGCATTGTCTCACATTGCATGAGCAATCTTAGTAGAATGATTTAGTGCAAATCCCCTGAAAAACTAAAATAATCCTATGACCAAAACTACTGTCCCCTAATGTTGACCATTTAAAAGAGTTCAACAAGGCATTTGCTCTTCAGGCAGCAGAACATATATATTTTCCCTCTCAGCCACACAGTGACATCACAGAGTAAATCCCCTGTCAGATATTTCACAGAAGTGAGATAAATGCCAGCAAAAGACCTTCACATTGGTACTCAGGGCAGTCAAAACATCTCTCTCACCCAAAACACTGACGCTCAAATATTGACATCTTGTGTTTGACCTGTTCTACCTTCAGAATGCCAGAGACGTGAAATAATTGTAAACACTGTGTAATAAATACAGCATGGGGTACAGCATGGGGTGGACATCTTTAAAGGTCAACATAAGTGTTGGATCGGACAAAGCATCTGAGGTGAAAAGCAAGGAGGAAAAAAAACGGTTTTATTCTTTGTGGGCGTGTTGAGTGCATTAGTGGAGCTCATTAGCATAAATTCCTCTTAACCTGTGCTTGTGTGCACCACTTTCTGAGAGAGACTAATGGAGTGTGCCTGAAAGAGAGTGATGCACACATAGGATGAGACCAGATGATGAATATATCTGATAACATTTAGTGGACTGTGTCATCGTATGGTAAAGGTTGCATCCAGCCTGCTTAGCCTCCATGAGCATCTTTAAAACTGTCTCTTCTATGTGGGGATGAGACTGTTCTGGGATTTCAGAGTTTTTTCAACGATACTAAGACTCATGATGGCACTACAGCGTGTCTTGTAATATAGGTAGGCACATTAAGTCAGTAGAGATACAAGTAGGTGCACATTTGCATGTGAGGAGCAAAGCTACACTTATATATGGCA